ATAGGTCTCAAGTAACTTAAGAGATACTTAAGGCATAAGCATGAACAATATGGTCCCCGCCCTCATGGAGCTTATAATCTAATAGACTTACTTCATATGACTAAGAAGCTCTACCGTCACCATCATAGAGAATGATTGGAAGGGAAGAACACCAGTTAGACCAGAAAGTCCAGGTAGATATTGCCTTGTTTGAATGAGTGTAGTAATAGAAAAACTGGTACCTGGACTCCATGACCAATATCACAGCATCAGAGGAAGGCAGGAAGGGAAAAGCACCAAGTGGACACAGAGGAAGAATTTTCCTTTGGTAATGATCTGTATGTAGCATAATTTCCAAAAGAGAATATCTGCAAAACTTTGGCATCCTAAACAGAGTCCAAGGCATTATTAGAGCAAAAAAAAAAAAGTGTTTCTGAAAGAATGGTGCACTGACAACCTGGGTCAGAATTATTTTTGGTATTTTAAAGAAAGTAAACAAGAATTTTAAGACTGAAACGAGGAAATTGCCTTTTAACAAGATCCTGCATAATTTTTATGCTAAATTCAAGTAACCAGAGCAATGGAAAATGGGAAAAAAATAAAACATTTAAATCAGTATTAAGGCAGTTGATATTGTTAAGACAAATTGATGATGGTTATACAAAAAAATCTCTATATACTTAAAATTGTTCCAGAGAATAAAATATCTGGAGAGCTTTTCAGTCTGTATTTGAAGATATTAGAATAATCTAAAGGTTATAGCACATCAATCTTAGTTATGAGCATAGAAGAAAAGCTCCTAAAATATAGGAAAATGAATCCAGCAGTAAATTACATGAATGGTTCACTATTACAGAAACAACTTATTCCACAACTGAAAAAAATAATTGCCTAATAGAAAAACTATTAAAATAATTTACCAAATCAATAAATCAAGAGAAAAACAAAAATGCACCATCAACTAATAGATTCAAGACAGGTTTTTTTTAACATCAACATTCATTCATTCCTGTTATGAGTTTTAGTAAAACATAAGTATTTATTGCAATCTCATGGTCAACAATATAATTACTGCTATAGCACTAGAAGCCTTCTAAGAATGCACACCAGGGTTATTTGATTATTCTTTTTTTCATCAAAAAGTTCTAGTCAATGTAATAAGACAAGAACAATAAAATGGGAATACAAATATTGGAGATTTCCAGATGACATGATTGTCTGCCTAGAAAACTCAGAAAATAAACCTGAAAAATATCACTACCTATGAGAGGGTTCAACATGGTTGTCAGTTACAGTATCAAAAACAAAAGTTAAAGGTTGGAACAAAACACTTTTAGAATAGCAAACAATATTATAGGATCTGCCCAAATAAAACATTGTTGACCAACATAAAAATAATGTTATTAACCAATGGTAACATATGTCAGTAAGAACAGATATGGCCTAATAAGGATTGCCACTCCACTTTATTTTGTATTAAATACACCCATTTCCACTTATATTGGGACAAATGTGACAAAATGATCTTAATTTTATTTTGAGTATAAACATGTGGAAAAATCACATTTTAAGGAGTGATGAGGGCAGATTTGCCCTGGTGTATTCTTCAAAACCATATAGTTTGAGTCCACTAAAATGACCTCCTGGATGGAGGTAAATTCAGATAAAGTTAGGTGGGAGGAGACAGGCCATAAAAGAGGAAGGAAGGAAGGAGGGAAGAAAAGGAGGAAGGAAGGAAGGAGGGAAGAAAAGGAGGAAGGAAGGAAGGAGGGAAGAAAAGGAGGAAGGAAGGAAGGAAAAGCACATTTAAATCTGGAAAGGGAAATACTAGGAGGATATTGAAAATCAACTAAAATCATGAAAAAAATTGGGAAAGATAAAAAGTAAACTCTGTCCTAAATCTCTGAGTACTGGAGAACTTTATGGTGCTGGAGAGTTCCTGAAAGTGTACAGTACACTAAGTGGCGTTGATTCCCAAAGAGTTGCCGTTGGATCAAATAAAAAAATCCACTCCATATTATAAATAGTAAACCCAAAGGACAGTTTTTTGTACCTGATAGAAGACATGGGTCAAAAAGCATTTTGTTTGTTTTTTGTTTGTTTTCATTTTAGCTTTGAAAAGCATTTGTATAAATTTATGCTTTAATATCATCCATGGTCCTCAGTGATATTGACTTGGAGAGATCGCTAGATTAATTAAGAGTTTTGGGCTTCCCTGGTGGCCCAGTAGTTAAGAATCCGCCTGCCAATACAGGGGACAAGGGTTCGAGCCCTAGTCCGGGAAGATCCCACATGCAGTGGGGCAAATAAGCCCGTGCGCCACAACTACCGAATCTGTGCTCTGGAGCCCGCAAGTCACAACTGCTGAGCCCATGTGCCACAACTACTGAGCCCACGCGCCTAGAGCCCGTGCTCCGCAACAAGAGAAGCCACCACAACGAGAAGCCCACGCACCACAATGAAGATTAGCCCCCGCTCGCCGCAAGTAGAGAAAGCCAGCATGCAGCAACAAAGATCCAACACAGCCAAAAAAATAAAATAAAAAACATAAATTAATTAAAAAAAGAAAGAGTTTTACTTCACACAATATTATACTTAAAATGGAATTTCGAAGTCATTTAATGAGAGACCTCACACCGTGCAAAATTGTTTTTACCTCAGGAAAAAAATCCAGTCACTTGCAAGCTCTTATCTAGTCTTTGGCACTTTTATATGGATTGGCGAGCTCTTCACTTTACAATGATGGCCATTTCAAAATCGGGTAATGTCATTCATAATCTCATATTTTTCTATAATTAATCCTATACAATAGAGCATCATATTATGAATCATCTCATTTTTTTTTTCTTTGCGGTACGTGGGCCTCTCACTGTTGTGGCCTCTCCTGTTGCGGAGCACAGGCTCCGGAGGCGCAGGCTCAGCGGCCATGGCTCACGGGCCCAGCCGCTCCGCGGCATGTGCGATCTTCCTGGACCGGGGCACGAACCCGCGCCCCCTGAATCGGCAGGCGGACTCTCAACAACTGCGCCACCAGGGAAGCCCCTGAATCATCTCATTTTAATAGTGATGGTCACTTCAGTATTTAAAGACAGCCATTTTGTTAGTGCATATTCTTCATATTTAGGTTAAACATTTCCAGTTCCTTAAACTTGTCATCCAATGAAATACTTTCCAGATCCCTCATTTTTTGCTTCAGGCTTTAGATGATCTCATTTTAGTTGAAAAATGCACCTCTATTATATACCCAGTACTGCATTCCTGATATTAACTGAAGAATGGACTCATATTTTTATAAAGTGGATAATTCTAGGAAGCAAATCTATATGGCCTTTGCTTTATTACTTGTGTAGTAGCCATATGTCCTCTCAAATTTGCTTTTGTATCCATAGCAAATATGAACTAATTTAGCTTGATATCAGTGTTACAGTTGCTTTATTTAAAATAAAGTCCTTTTCATTTGATAAACAAGGGAAACAGAGCCAATCATGGCTTTCCAAGATACTAGTGGAGCTGTGGGACTGCATGTGTGTACATGTACTTTTATAGCATGTGAGTGTGAAGGTTTGCATATATGTGAAGTGGTGTGTGCATGCACACAGGCATGCATATAGAGATGTTCTGCTAGAAGATATTGCTTTTTCATGGCTTCTTGCTAAAGAAATTAACAAGTAAAGAGAATCATGATTTATGTGTTGATTTTTGTGATTTTACATATAAAGTAAAAAAGAGGACAGTAAATGACAAAATGATGCAAAGAAAAGAAAAAATGTTTATGGGTGAGGATATTTTCTTTAGGAATAAGGGAAAAAGAGCAATTCAAGTCTTCTGGAAGGTATAACAGATAAAACTTGTTTTGCAATTGATAACAAAAGCCCTTTTGTTTTTATGGCCTAAGAGATTGCTTTTAAAGTATTCATGGATCTTGAACATGCAGCTTAGAATTTAGGAGTGAAATATTTCTGTAGTACGTGTCAATTATTTTTTCTCCAGTTTTATCTCTTTTGTGTACTCCTGCAAAACAAAGAACAAACAAAAAACTATCTCATTTATATAGATTACCTTATCAAAATTTTGTCACATAAGGAAAAATGAAATTATGTCTTTGTTGTTCATGTAAGCATTAAAATGTTTTCTTAATTTTTTTTGGAATCCTAACCTATAATAAATATGTTTGAGACTATTTAACTAAGAAAATTTCAGATGGTGATTATTCACAGGTTACCATGCACTGAACACAATGTTTCTTTTCACTCAGTATTTTGAAAATATTTTTTAAGCCCTATCACATAAGAGAAGTTTGCTAGAATTTAGGGAGAAAGCAAATGCATTTATTAGAATGCTATTATGTTTTAGAGTGTTGGTATCAGTTTATAGTAGATTAAATGTAGAATATTCAGTCCCTTAATTGATTTGTTTGGTTTGTAACTTCTCTATGGTGACTTTAACATGCCACTTGCACTACCACTCCTTTGTTGATCCATATATATTTTAATATGAGCTAGATAAATAAAAAGGTAAAGTGTTCCATACGTGGTGTCCCAATTAGTCTCAAATAGTCTCAAGATAAAGTGAAGACTTGCTAGAAATAGATTTTCAGGCCCAGTCTGTTAAGTTTCAGATACAGTAGATCTGGAGTGGTTAGTTCAACCTGAATTTTTTAAGCATGCAGTTGATTCTGATGACAGGGAAAAGAATTAGGAAAACGCTCATGAAAAATTATTCCAAAAACACATATGAAAGACTTTTGCATTATTGCTGTTTGGAATCACCCATACCACTCATCATATCCACTGATACAAATAATCAAATCAACTACATATGATATTTGAACTGACTATATCTTTAAAATTGGAAAGTAACTGCTTCTCTCAAAAATAAAAAATTAGCATTTTACTCAATTCTCCTTTTCTGTGGTGGGGATTCACTCAAAGTATACAATGTATCACATCAAATAATTTATTTTTATTTTCTTATATATTAGTCTTTAGATTAATTATGTTTTTATTTTTTGTTTGCAGGGTGCAAGTTGAATTTTATATGAATGAAAACACATTTAAAGAGAGACTAAAGTTATTTTTTATCAAAAACCAGAGATCAAGTAAGTCTTTAATTTTATTCCCCTGTGTATATATTTGTATATATATTTACCTTAAACAATTCCAGCTTTGCAATCCTTTTGCAAAATATCTTTTATAGAGAGAAGTAAAATTGGTAGTCTTATCTGCCGGGCATTAAAGTTTAGAAAACAATAGATGTTATATCTGGTGGTGTCAAGTCAAGGTTTCTTGACTATTTTACTACTCGAAATCCCACATCAGTAAGTAGACTTCTGAGTGGACCATTTGGATTGCTAGGAACATTGAGGAAAATCATTTAAGTGAGGGTTCCCCATATTTTAACTGTGAGGGATACCAAAACTTGTTTTGAGAAGACTCTGGTGATTCCAAGTGACCATAATGGGGAATAATTTTCTGGTTTAGTGATTTAGTAGGGAAGAGTTTCCCCATCACACCTAATAACAAGAAATATGTAGGGTGTTCTGAAAGGTACAGATTACTAGCATCCTCCCCTGGGGATTTAAAATCAGGAAGTATAGAGCTAAGCTTAGCATATAACATCTCAGTGATCCTTATCATCAAAAAACCTTGGGAAACGTTGGAACTTCACGGAGGCATGAAATCAGCATAGTCACTGACCTCTTAAGCCTGTGCAGGGTTGAAGTGCCAGTCATACTTGCTTCCCCCTAGTACCATGCACTTTGAAAAAGCCATAAATAATGAACCAATATGCAGTTTTTTCATGTGATTATTGCTTAAGATGTCAAGAAGCATTGGAGAGGTCTACAGTAGATTGGTGTAGACTTTGCTCTCTTTGAATTTTGACCTCCTGGGGTGGTCTAAAGTAAGTTGTGCTTCTATAGAGTTCATAGAGAGAAACTTGAGTTGTGAGCAGTTACACAAATACTGACTACAGGGAATATTTCAGTCTGTAAGGCACACAGGTTAGAGAATCTTAATGGCTGGTTAGTTTTAGGATTAGACTAATAATAACTAATGCTTCTCTAATCCAGTTGTTTTGAATTCCCAAGGTGGAATCCCACCAATAGATGTTACCTGGAGAGGCCACATCATTTGCATAGAAGGTTTCCTTTATTTTAAAAATTTTAAAAATTTTACTAAAAATTTTCTTTCTCCAGGTCAGAAGGAATAGATGTATTATTTGAATACTTTAACAACAGCCAGCTTTGACTAAGCTGTCATTTGAAGAGATCAGTTCTATAAAACCAGGGCAATTTCATTAACAGTTTAGAAGACTATAAAGAAGCTAACCCATAAGTACCTAGCATTTTAGTAGGAAAACCCAAGAAAAATTGCACAATTAATAAGCATTAACCTTTTACTGTTAAGAAATGGTACCTCAGGTACACTCACTTATAGCAGAGTAAAAACAAAATGGCATTTCATTTCCAGATTTTATTGAGAATTAATTATAGGAAGACCTCAAAATTTTATTCACAATCTGTGAATCACTTACCACCTGATAATTGCAGGAAAGGTAATGCTTCTATTAATCAGACTTTAAACGCATTTTGCTTAATATTAATTACTCTTATTCATCATCAAGTATTATAGGCAGCATAACTGTGAACGAAACAGTTTCAAAGATACATACATGAAAGTCTTAATTCCCACAAAAGTTTTTTTTAAGATTTCATTGGTATTTAAACCTAAAGTAAAAAGTTGGTGGAGTCTCAAAAATGTGTCTGCGTGTGTGTGTGTGTGTGTGTGTGCGCTTGTGTATTTCCCAGCATATGCTATTAGGATTTCTCTATAATTATATAATTACTAATTAAATGTATAATACATAATTATTTACATGATTATAATTTCTCTACAGTCAAACCTACAAGGTGCTCAGAAGATACAAGATTTATAACTTATCCTGTGAATTTGTAAGCAGCTAGATTTTCTGGCTAGTTAAAATTTATTCCAAAATTCATGGATCTATAAAATGCTTAAACTTCTAAGCATACTTGAACCAATCTTGATTGGACATGATTTTTGTGGCTTCTGAGTGCTCAAATGTAGATTTACTCTTAGTGTATAATATTCACTGTCATTTGCGGTTTATACATTCTGTCATTCTCATTTTTTGTTTCAATATTTAGCCACCTAGAACTTCAGAGTGGGTAAGCAATTATGGTATTGTAGATTCTAAACACAATTTGAGTGCTGTACTTAAAGCTGATATTTTTGACAATTCGTTTTAGTCTTTTGTGGACTGAGTTCAAATGAAAATCCAATTTTTGTTGTTTGTTTAAAGGTCTAAGAATACGTCTGTTCAATTTTTCTCTCAAATTATTAAGCTGCTTTTTGTACATAATCCGAGTGCTACTAGAAAACCCTTCACAAGGAAATGAATGGTAAGGTATCTTTGTCTGATTTTCTACAATATTCTTTTGATTAGTTTAAATTGTATTATAAGTTTTGAGGTAAAACTGGTAAAAACAACATTATATTAGTTTCAGGTGTACAACATAATAATTTGATCTTTGTATACACGAGAAAGTGATCACCACCATAAGTCTAGTTACCATACGTCACCATACAATCCATCCCCTTTACCCATTTTACCCCATTCTCTTCCTTTTCCTCTGATAACCAACAATCAATGAGTTTTGTTTTGTTAGCATGTTTTGTTTTTTTTATGTTCTACATATAAGTGAAATCATATGGTATTTATCTTTCTCTGTCTGACTTATTTTACTTAGCATAATGCCCTCTAGGTCCAACCATGTTGTCACAAATGTCAAGATTTCCTTCTTTTTATGGCTGAATAACACATTTCATTGTGGGTGTGTATATATACATACATACCACATCTTCTTTATTCATATATCCATCAATAAACACTTAGGTTGTTTCCATATCTTAGCTATTGTAAACACTACTGCAATGAACATAGGGGTGTGTGTGTATCTTTTTGAATTAGAGTTTTGGGGGATTTTTAGGGGATAAATACCCAGAAGTAGAAGAGCTGGATTATATGGTAGTTTTATTTTTAATTTTTTGAGGAACCACCATACTGTTTTCCATAGTGGTTGCACCAACTTACATTCTCACCAATAGTGTAAGAGGATTTCCTTTTCTCTGAAACCTCTTCAACATTTTTTATTTCTTTTCTTTTTAATAATGGCCATTCTAACAGGTGGGAGGTGATATCTCATTGTGATTTTGATTTGCATTTTCCTAATAATTAGTAATGTTGAGAACATTTTCATGTACCAGTTGGACATCTGTATGTCTTCTTTGGAAAAATGTCTATCTGGATCCTATGACCATTTTTATTCCAATTTTTTTTTTTGCTGTCGAGTTGAATGAGTTCTTTAATATTTGGGGTATTAACTCCTTATCAGATATATGATTTGCAAATATTTTTCCCATTTTAGGTTGCCTTTTCATTTTATTGATGGTATCCTTTCCTGTGCAGAAGCTTTTTAGTTTGAAATAGTCCCACTTTTTTATTTTTGCTTTTGTTGCCTTTGCTTTTGGTGTCAGATTAAAAAAAGCATCACCAAGGCCTAGGTCAAGGGACTTACCATCTATGTTTTCTGCTAGGAGTCTTAAGGTTTCAGGTCTTACATTCAAGTCTTTAATCCACTTTGGATTAATTTTTATGTATTGTGTAAGAGAGTGGTCTACTTTCATTTTTTATGTGTGTCCTGTTTCCTCAACACAATTTATTGAAGAGATTGTCTTTTACCCATTGTATATTCATGGCTCCTTTGTCATTAATTAATTGACCATATATGTGTGCATTTATTTCTGGGCTCTATATTCTGTTTCATTGATCTGTGTATCTTTTTTATGCCAATACCATGCTATTTTGGTTACTACAGCTTTGTAGTATAGTTTGAAATCAAGGAGCATGATTCCTCCAGGTTTGTTCTTCTTTCTCAAGATGCTCGGCTATTCAGTCTTTTGTAGTTCCATAGAAATGTGTAAATTGGTTGTTTTAGTACTGTGAAAAATGTCATTGGAATTTCGATAAAGATTGAATTGAATCTGTAGATCACTTTGGGTAGTATGGACATTTAAACAATATTAATTCTTCCAATCCATGAGTACAGAATAGCTTTCCATTTCTTTGTGTCTTATTCAATACCTTTTATCAATGTCTTACAGCTTTCAGTGTACAGGTCTTTCACCTCCTTGGCTAAATTTACTTCTAGTTATTCTATTCTTTCTGATGCAATTGTAAATGGGGTTGTTTTCTTAATTTCTCTTTTGGATATTTCATTATAATTTATAGAAATGCACAGATTTCTGTACAGTCATTCTAGGTATCCAAAGGGAGTTGCTGCCAGGACCCCTGCACAGATACCAAAATCCATGGATGCTCAAGTACCTTTTAGGAAATGGCATAGTATTTGTGTATATCCCATGAACATCCTTCCATATACTTTATATCATCTCTAAATTGCTTACAATACTGAATATAGTATAAATGCTATGTAAATAGTTGCCAGCATGTGGCAAATTCAAGTTTTGATTTTTGGAAATTTCTGGAATTTTTTTCAAATACTTTTAATTAATTAATTAATTTTTTTGCGCTATGCGGGCCTCTCACTGTTGTGGCCTCTCCCGTTGCAGAGCACAGGCTCCGGACGTGCAGCCTTAGCGGCCATGGCTCATGGGCCCAGCCGCTCCACGGCATGTGGGATCTTCCCGGACCGGGGCATGAACCCGCGTCCCCTGCATCGGCAGGCGGACTCTCAACCACTGCACCACCAGGGAAGCCCCTGAAATACTTTTGATCCATGGTTGATTGAATCAACAGATGTAAAACCCATGGATAAGGAGGGTTGACTGTACATTGATTTTGTATCCTGCAACTTTGCTGAATTCATTTATTAGTTCTAATATTTTTTTTGTTTAGTTTTTAGGGTTTGCTATATATAGTCTTATGTCATCTGCAAATAATTCCAGTTTTACTTCTTTCTTTCCAATTTGGATGATTTTGTTTCTTTTCCTTGCCTAATTGCTGTGCCTAGGACTTCCGATACTATATTTATAAATGAGGCAAGAGTGGGCATCCTTGTGTTGTTCCTGATCTTAGAGGGAAAGCTTTCAAATTTTCATTATTTTGTTAGCTGTGGGTTGGTGTGTATGACCTTCATGATGTTGAGGTACATTCCTTCTATACCTACTTAGTTGAGAGTTTTTAATCATAAGTGGATGTTGAATCAAAACTAAACAATGCCTTTTTTGCATCTATTGATATGATTATATAATTTTCATCTATTTTGTTAATGCGGTTAATGTTTTTTTTTAAACATCTTTAGTGGAGTATAATTGCTTTACAATGGTGTGTTAGTTTCTGCTATATAACAAAGTGAATCAGCTCTACGTATACATATATCTCCAAATCCCCTCAACTTGCATCTCCCTCCCACCCTCCCTATCCCACCCCTCTAGGTGGATACAAAGCACCGAGCTGATCTCCCTCTGCAATGCAGCTGCTTCCCACTAGCTATCTATTTTATATTTAGTAGTGCATATATGTCCATGCCACTCTCTCACTTCGTCCCAGCTTACCCTTCCCCCTCCCCATATCCTCAAGTCCATTCTCTACATCTGCATCTTTATTCCTGTCCTGCCCCTAGGTTCTTCATAACCATTTTTTTTTTCTAGATTCCATATATATGTGTTAGCATAAGGTATTTGTTTTTTCTCTTTCTGACTTACTTCACTCTGTATGACAGACTCTAGGTCCATGCACCTCACTACAAATAACTCAGTTTTGTTTCCTTTTATGGCTGAGTAATATTCCATTGTATATATGTGCCACATCTTCTTTATCCATTCATCTGTCGATGGACATTTAGGTTGCTTCCATGTCCAGGCTGTTGTAAATAGAGCTGCAATGAACATTGAGGTACATGAGTCTTTTTGAATTATAGTTTTCTCAGGGTATATGCCCAGTAGTGGGATTGCTGGGTCGTATGGTAGTTCTATTTTTAGTTTTTTGAGGAACCTTCATACTGTTCTCCATAGTGGCTGTATCAGTTTACGTTCCCACGAACAGTGCAAGAGCGTTCCCTTTTCTTCACACCCTCTCCAGCATTTACTGTTTGTAGATTTTTTGATGATGGCCATTCTGACTGCTGTGAGGTGATACCTCATGGTAGTTTTGATTTGCATTTCGCTAATGTTCAGGGATGTTGAGCATTCTTTCATGTGTTTGTTGGCAATCTATATGTCTTCTTTGGAGAAATATCTATTTAGGTCTTCTGCCCATTTTTGGATTGGGTTGTTTGTTTTATTGACATTGAGCTGCATGAGCTGCCGGTATATTTTGGAGATTAATCCTTTGTCAGTTGTTTCGTCTGCAAATATTATCTCCCATCCTGAGGGTTGTCTTTTTGTCTTCTTTATGGTTTCCTTTGCTGTGCAAAAGCTTTTAAGTTTCATTATGTCCCATTTGTTTGTTTTTATTTCCATTTCTTTAGGAGGTGGGTCAAAAAGGAGCTTGCTGTGATTTATGTCATACAGTGTTCTTCCTATGTTTTCCTCTAAGAGTTTTATAGTGTCCGGTCTTACATTCAGGTCTCTAACCCATTTTGAGTTTATTTTTGTGTATGGTGTTAGGGAGTGTTCTAATTTCATTCTTTACATGTAGCTGTACAGGTTTCCCAGCACCACTTATTGAAGTGGCTGTCTTTTCTCCATTGTATATTATTGCCTCCTTTATCAAAAATAAGGTGACCATATGTGCGTGGGTTTATCTCTGGGCTTTGTATCCTGTTCCATTGATCTATATTTCTGTTTTTGTGGCAGTACCATACTGTCTTGATTATTGTCGCTTTGTAGTATAGTCTGAAGTCAAGGAGCCTGATTTTTCCAGCTCCATTTTTCTTTCTCAAGATTGCTTTGGTTATTCAGGGTCTTTTGTGTTTCCATACAAATTGGGATATTTTCTGTTCTCGTTCTGTGAAAAATGCCATTGGTAGTTTGATATGGATTGCATTGAATCTGTAGATTACTTTGGGTAGTGGAGTCATTTATAAAATGTTGATTCTTCCAGTCCAGAAACATGGTATATCTCTCCATCTGTTTGTATCATCTTTAATTTCTTTCATCAGTGTCCTATAGTTTTCTGCATACAGGTCTTTTGTCGCCTTAGGTAGTTTTATTCCTGGGTATTTTATTGTTTTTGTTGCAATGGTAAATGGGAGTGTTTCCTTTATTTCTCTTTCAGATTTTTCATCATTAGTGTATAGGAATGCAAGAGATTTTGTGCATTAATTTTGTATCCTGCTACTTTATCAAATTCATTGATTAGCTCTAGTAGTTTTCTGGTAGCCTCTTTAGGATTCTCTCTGTATAGTATCATATTATCTGCAAACAGTGACTGCTTTCC